TTAGTGATAGCTTAATAATCAATGAATGATAATTTAATAGTAAATTGATAATTTTTTAGTAAATTAGTAATAATATAATAATATATACATAATATCTTAATAGTAAATCGATTATAATATAGTTGTAAATGCATAATAGCATAATACTATATCAAGGATAACTTAACAAAAAAAAGTGATAACTTAATAGTTAATTATTGATAACTTAATAGTAAATTAGTAAAAATTTGACAGTAAATTAATTTTAGTTTAACAATAATTAATTGATAGTAAGAAATCATAAATAATTTAGTAGCAAATCAATGATAAATTAGTAGTAAATAATTAATAATTTAGTAGTTAATCATTAAAAACATAAAAGTAAATCAATAAAACTTAGTAGTAAATCATACATAATACAATAGTTAATCAATAATAACTTAATAATAAATCATGCATAATTTAATATAAATCAGTTACAACTTGATAATGAATTATAGATAATTTAGTAATAAATTGGTGATAATTTTATAGTAAATAATAAAAAATTAAGTAGTTAATGAATGATAACATAATAATAATAATATAATAATATAATAATAAATTATTGATAATTTATTAGAAAATTAATAACTTAGTAGTAAATCACTAATAATGTAATAGTAAATTAACAAGTTATAAATTAGTAATTAATCATTGATAATGTAACAATAAATCAACAATAACTTAATAGTAAATTAGTTTCAATTGAATAGTAATTAATTGATAAATTTAGTAGTAGATCATAAATAATTTAGTAGTAAATCAATGATAATTTAGTAATTAATCATTGAAAACTTAAAAAGTAAATCAATATAACATAGTAGTAGTTAATTATCAATAACTTAATTGTAAATTATGAATAATTTAATATAAATTAGTAATAACTTAATAATGAACTATGGTTAATTTAGTAATAAATATGTGAGTAAATCAATTATAATATGATAGTAAATACATAATAATATAATAGTAAATCATTAATAATTTAAATATAAATTATTGATAATTTAGTAGTAAATTACTAATAATTTGGTTGTAAATTAGTAATAATTTAGTAATAAATTAGTTAATCTTTGGTAAATTTGTAGTAAGTTATCGCTAAATTAATAATAAATCAATTATAACTTTATAATAAATCTTCGATAACTTAATAGTAATCATCAATAATATAACAATAAATCATTCATAATTTTGTAGTAAATCATTAATAAATTAGTAATAAATTAATGCTAATTTAGTAATCAATTATTGATAATTTATCAGTATATCATTGATAAGTTAGTAATAAATCGCTGATAACAAAATAGTAAATCAGTAATAATTTAATTGTTAATCATTGATAAATTTTGTTATACTTAAAGTTGTTAAGAATTGAATCTTAGTTACTAGCAAAAATAAAATTAGAAATTTCATCTTGAAAGATTAAGATAAACCTACATGAACCTATTTAATAAAAACTTTAGTGAAAAATTTTTAAATTTGAATGAAACAATAATATTATTATATAAAAAATTTATTTTATACTAAAATTATATCCGTGCTTTCGAGAATTCATTTATTAAGTATATGATGATACAACTTTTATCAATGATTACTAAAAATATATTATAAGTTACTAAAAAATTAATTACTAAAAATATCAAGAGGTTACCAAAATTTTATCAATAGTTACCAAAATTTTATCATAAGTTATCAAACTAATATTGAAAGTTACCGAAATTATATTGAAAGTTATTAAAATTTTATCAAAATCAAAATTATATAAAAAATTATCAAAATTTACTTATATTATACCAAAATTAAAATTAAATTATTATTTATCATTATTATTGTAATATAAAAAATTATTTATTGAAATAAATTTTTAAAAATAAGAATTATATATACACATGCACTGTCAAAAACTAGTGTGTGTGTATATATATATATATATATATATATATATATATATATTCAAAACCAATATTATAAACAATATGATTTATTATATTTTTATAAGGAATTTTATTTTATAAAAACTTTTAATTTTTAAAAATTAGTAAGAATCAATAGAAATATAAAAAAATTAACTGTTAAACTTGTAATTTCAATAATCAAAATTTAATTTCTGGCTATCTCAATTATAAAAGTAGTAATAATAATAAGAAAAAAAGTTTACTCATATATGGCAAAACTCAACCCAAAATTTGTCTCGAGCCTTTGAAATTAAATTTGGCCAATGGCTTGGGGGGTCTGGTCATACATCTTAATTCTGAACTGACTTCCAACCTTTCTCTCTGACTCAGAAAGATGGAGAAAGAAAGGGATTTTTTCCTTGTCTACTGCTAATGCGACTTCAAAGTTCAAAGTAAAAGAGAAGGTATTATTGCCTTGCAACTTCTTTGCTTCCATTTTCAATTGGGTCTTTGTTGTTTTCTTTTAATTCTTTATTTATTTAAAGTGCTACCCATGTTAGATAAGCAACTATATTTGCTTTTATAATCAAGACTTTTGCGTAAACTTGAACTTTTTTTTGGCTTAGTTTAAGCTCTCAATTTGCAGAATTGCCAAATTGGTTTATCTCAAATAAAAATAGGATTTTTTTTTTTTGGTTAAAATGTGATTTTTTTGCTGGACAAAAGAAAATGAAGAATTTTTGGGTCGTTTAAATGAGTTTCAAAACATGGGCACACAATTTTTCCAGCTAATGGTGCCTCAGTGGGTATCTTGTTTTAGTTTGCGAAAGAAGAACCATTTTTTGTAGTATTTTGTTTCATTCCTTTTGTTGATGAATGAGCAACCAAGAAACTTTACTTGCTTTTTGGTCCCTTTGAAGATTCTTGATTTCTGTGTAAAATGCAACTTGAATTTGGCTTTTAGAGTTATTTTATTTCCATTTATTTTAATGGAGTGTGTTACTGTTGGAAGTTTTAGATTAACTTTCATTTAGTGCTTGGAGTTTACCTTTTAGCTCAACTAAGGAGTTGCATGTGCATTTATAACAAATTTGTCTGTAATTAAACCTTGTGAATGATGCAATGAATCGTTTAATGATTCACAAGGATTTTGATGATATTAGATGCTTGTATTTGGTTCAATCATGTTACTCCAATTTTGCAACTGAGCCTAGTGATATGAAAGTGTTAATTCTCATTGGAACAACTCTGCAATATACAATATGTTCTAAGGCTTTGGTGCTACAAAATTTCTTAATTTTGTGATTATAATTTGTTTTAGTACTTATTTTTCTTTTAGATCATTGTTTATCTATATAGTTGCATAATGCATGAAGTCACAGTTCTTAGCGCTTGATGCTTGAAAGAAGGTAGTCGTAACTATTCCTACTGACTCATTCCTGACATTTTATTAATTTTTGGCTGTAATGCCTTCTTTTGTTTCCATCAAATTAAACCTAGTGCAGCTGAAGAGATTATTTTCTCCATTCAATTGTTTATTATGTATTCAGTTTACGTGGGGACAGTGTGCCATTTCAACCAAAAATGTTGGTTGGTTTATTAATCTCTTCTTGTATAGAATCCAATCCTGTGTTTACTCAAATGAACAACTTTAACTAGTTTGGTTGTAATACAACAGCTTGAAATTGAATTTTACAAGTTAATACCACGCATTTCTGGTTGAACTTTTTCTTCTTCTATTACATTTCTCGTTGACTCAACTATTGCAAGTTTGCAACAACTCTTAGTTATCAGCTGTTTCCAGTTTTTTGTATATATTATTTCCTCTTGCTTTAGGGAACATAAAATGGATGCTCCAAGCGGAATAGGTGACCAATCAACCAGTGACGTTGTTGTGAGGCTACGAACACAAGTAAGGGCATGATGAGTGGATATATTGTCACTCCAACATCCTTGTAGAGAAGAGCAACTATTTTGTTGACCGCCTCTCCGAGAATTGGCCAACATGTCGGAGTCAGACTTTGATCACCATGCCAATGTTCTACGCCTTCTCTACGTTGTCATAGATGGCTCAGTTGATGACTAGTGGAATGGCGTAAAAATTGCCCTCGACATTCTCCAGGTTGCCATTGAACTTTGGGTGCCCACAGATTGTTGCTGCTTGTGTGAACTACTTAGAAGCTGTCCCTTGGGAAAAGTCTGAGAAGGAGGATATTTTAAGAATCATACCAGGCAAGGGTTCTGCAGTGGAGCCTATTCTTGCCCGTCTCCAACCAGTCAATCCATCAGCTATACGTGGGATTTTATCTCAACTCTTCTTTTGTCATGTCATCACCCCCTTCTCTGATGAATGATCTTAAATCTTCAGCTCAAGAGCAGCTTGAGTACATTGTAACTGAAGACGACGATTCCCTTCTATTAATTGCCCATAATGATATCAAATCTGAGGTAGATTGCGTAGGGAGACGATTTTTAAGATTTAACAGTCTGTTAGAAGCTTTTTTTATGTGAGCCAGGAAAGATGAAATCATTTCAGTACTATTTAGCAGATTTTTTTGTGCAGCCTAACTTTGATTTTAAATACGAAAGCTTATTGGTCGTCACGGGGGTTCTTTTCCTTGCTCTCAAAAGGACTTGGTTCTGATTCAAAATATTACAATAGCTGGTAATTGTATGGATGGGCAAGCTTCAAAACTCAACTTTAAAATGAACATATCAAATGGTTTTTACTTGTACCTTGTTCCCCACAACCAGAATGAACTTTACTGATAAAAGAAACAGAATTTATGGGACAGGAGTTCTTTGAATGTTGAGAAATGGAGTGAGATTTATAGGACAGAATGGGTAAAGTTTAACGAGATTTTATTATATGTGCATCAAACTTGTCATTCCATTGGAACTGGTCTTGTAAGAATGAATGCTAAGATAATGGGATTGTGGGATAGAATATAAAATTTGCTGGGTTTGATCATTGATGAATACCCTTCAGCCATTTTTTAGTACCAGTAGTTAGAGTTGATTATTCCAAGTATACTTGCTGAAGAAGCAATGTGGAAAAAATAAATATTGAAACAGAAGAAGCAATTTTGATGAAATACTACAATCACACCCAAATTGATTAAAATTTGATATACTGGTATACCCAAGTGACTAATCTTATGATATCAATCCATCTATCCAATCCCCGAAAACTTACAAAATTAATATACAATCATCAAATATATGTTGAGATCCTAAACTGTCTAAGGACTCAAATTGTGCTATGCAAAGTATAAACCTATACTAGGTGAATTTTCTTCTTTCTTTACACTACCATGCATTTTCCTTGTTCCCTGTAGGAGAGAAAATGAAGAGAACAGCAAGAAATAGTGAAAGAGGCCCCTGAAACCATTGTCTATACGTTTCTTGAATCCGAACCGTCTTTGTTCAAATCATACTCATAAGGCAACAAAGTCTGGTAACAATTGAGCTGCAAACCTTTTTCGATTCTGGATGTTGATGTTCTCATATGCAGATGAAGAGTGAGGTGTGGTAGCGTTTATAGCACCAAATTCATTTGGTTCACCAATGTCTAGCCTTCTCCCCATTTGCATGGTTTGGTTTGGGAGAAAAGTTTGATGAGTTCCGGATAAGGTGAGGTTTTCACAGTGGTGAAGACCAAGAGTGAGGGAAACGCCATTACCTGAAAACCTTGGAGCGAACTGTTCTGCTTCAAACCTTCCAATTTCTCCAATTGGATATTGCCCAAAACCTCCCATGAAATTTGTATTGGTTCCCATGAATGAGTAGCCGTCTTTGCCAAACTTCATAGATACCTCATTGTTTGCCTCACTTTGCTTGATATCCATATTTATTGATGGGACATTACTTGGGGACTGCAACAGGTCAGTGCTCCTCCTCCTTGGTTTCTTTGGACTTCCTTGGGTGATCCCTTCCAATTCGGATGACCCAATGAGGGAGAATCCTGACTGGTTGTGGACATTTCCTGCAAGGGGAGACGTTGAAGCAGTGGAAATGGACATTGGGGAAGCATTCTGGTTTGTGGGATTGTCCTGTTTGGAATTGAAACTTTTAACCTTGTTCTCTGCGGGACTTTTCTCTGGAGCAGTGGATTTGGATGCTGAATCTTCATTATTCTGTTTCTTGTTTGTTTTGTCCTCTGAACCATTCAGTTCTTGCTCCTTGATTTCCTCCAAGTACATCTCTTCCACCATTGGCTTCCAAAGCCGGACTCGAGCGTTTATGAACCAATTAGACACCTGAATTATCACCCCAAAAAAAAAAAAATCCTAGAATTAGACATGCCACAATTGGGACAAGGGTCAAAGGACAATGCTAAAGAACACAGAATTTAGCCAGTACCTGGCTCCTAGTAAGCCCTGTTTGTTTTGCAAGCATGTGCTTGTCTGAGTCTTTAGGATATCTGAAATGCAAATAAAAAAATCATATAACTATTGGAAAATGAAAGGACCTTCCATTCCAAATTTTGAGAACTTTAAAGAATATTTCAAATGTGACAATGAGATTTATTTAGAACACTGACGGGTGGAGAAAGTGTTCAAAGAGCCAAGCTCGAAGAACAGAAACTGATCTTTCTGGTAATCCTCTTTGGGGTCTCCAAGCATTGTGATGGATCATTCCCAACTGCTGAAGTGCTCTTTGTTGTCGAAGGTGATGATCGACAAACTTAAGTCTCGAGCCCTCAATTTTCCCTCCTAGGCAATCTTCTTCACCTAAACTCTTGTTTGCAGCTCGAATTTGACCAGTTATTGCATCTTTCAAACACCGAAACTGCTTCGAGATGGTCTTTAATGCAAGAGCTGTATATGTTTTAGCAGAGCCAGTTCCAGCTGCTTGCTCGAATGAGGAAATTACAATCTGCATCTGGTGATGATACTGCCTGTACCTTTGATCCACCTGGAAGAAAGAACATTGAAATTCAATCTTGATAACCATACTTCAAGAAACTGGCTTACAAAATTTTGAACTCTAAAAGGTAAATTTCAATGATTTAAGGTCTAAAATCAAACTACAGCTTTCAATTCGAAGAAAAATCGACAAACTTTATCATCTTCTTCAAAGATTGACATCTAAAATTATTAAAATTTCAATTGATGACTCAATGAAAGTAACTTTTACCCCGATGTTTTCCATTATTCTCTTCGTTACTATTATTATATCATCCGACTCAATTGACAAACGGCTCAACTCAATTCCTTCTGGCCAAAAAAAAAACTCAAATTTCTCCATATTTAGAACAATATTTTCCATGAAAAACACAACTTTCCCATGAAAACAAACTTATTTTCTTATACACTTTCACTTTCACTTTCACTTTCATAAAATCAAACCAAACCCACCAAAAGACATACAATAGACAAATATATATACACACACGTATACATATATGATGAATATCTATAAAATTTCCATACCTCATCAAGCATGCTTATTAGCTTTGCTTTCTTCATCTGAATTTCCTGTCTCTCCGCCGTGGTCATCTCGGCTTCGCCCTTCCCACCTGCTTCCCCTCCACCAGAGCCATCTCCGGCCACCGCTGACGATTCTCCAGTAGCCTTACTGCTATTGCTATTATTTCCACTACCCTTTTTAGCCAATTCCCTCTTCGAAATCCCAGTATTGTTTACATTAACTACCTCATCAAGAAGCTCTTGAGCAGCCTTCAAGTATTTAGAGCTCAGCAACACACTTTGTATACCCGACACCCCATTGGTCACCCCTGAACCAGAAGAAGCTGACCCGTCTGAAACCCGCATGTCCTCACCTGAAACTGCTTGAGCCTGTGATCCATAACCAGGCTGCTGTTGGGAAGAAAGGCTCAAAGAGAGGCCCTGTTGAGCGCGTGGAGCCTCACGCGCTGCATCAGAAGGGTCAATAGGATTGTACAAGTTATAATGGACGCGCTGGACGAGGCCATGCAAGGGGGAGATGTCGTGGGAACTAGGGTCTGGATTTGCGCCGGAGGTGGGAGGTAGGGGGATGCCGACGAATTGCTGAGTGTGTGGAGGTGGAGCGTGTGGAGAGAGAGAGTTTGAGTTGAGGAAAACGAAGTTGTTTACCGGCTGAGGAGTGGCATCCGAGTACTGAACATAGGAAGGGTTCATAAGTACGAGGGTTTGAAGACCATCAGCTGCTTGGATTTCGGGGTTCCCATGAAAGTATGTCGCCATCGGATGATGTTTTGTTTCTACAAGTTTGCAAAAATTATGTTATTTTCTGTGCTTTCACTTCACTGAAAAGTAAAGGAAAGACCAAGTATTAGTGCTTGCATATGGTCACATACACTAGAAAAAAAAAAATAATAAAAATCCATCCAATCCATATAACATCAATCAAAATATAAACACCAAAGCTTTCACACGTTTTACCTTATTCTTCACAATGAATCCGGGGTATTTGAATCAACCCATTTGAGGGTTGGCTTGCTTGGTTGATGAATTGTGAGATAAAATTGGAAGATAGGTACTTTTAGAGGAGCAGCAGCAGGAATAAATGTGATATTATTGATTGTCTTCGGATGATCAAGTGGATCCTGGAAAAATCAATAGAAAGAAAAGGAGTGATGACCCCACAAAGTTCAAATACAAGTTATTGTGATTGGTTCAAGGTTTGAAAACAATCCATGTTACTTGTCGTCTCTAGTTCTTCATAGAGCTTGGAGACATGGGAAGAAGAAGAAAGCTATGGTGTTTATATAAAATAAGAGAGAGAGGAGAATAGGAGAGAAGGATCAGGTGAAGAGATTAAAAGAAAGAGGGAGAGAGAGAATTCTGAAATTGAGAAATAATATCGGTACCTGGTGTGATGGTAAACTGAGTGTGCACGTGCTTCATCATCATCTGAATTGCAAAGGAAAAGAAAGATTTTAGCTTAAAAAAATCCCATCAAAATTTGTGAAAGAGAAAGGGAAAGGAGGCGGAGGATATAGGGATGCCACCATTAACTACTCTATACCCACCTGTCTGAACACGACCTATCTATAGAATTTATGATTTTTTATCGATTCCCTGCAAGAGAGAAAGCTAGTCTTTTGTCAGACTCGTAATCTCTGCAACTCCCCCACTGAAAAGGCAAAAATGAAAGAAAAAGAGAGATGGGGTTATAAAGGCAGAGAAAAAGATACCCGTCTTTATTCACTTCATTATCCACTTTTTTTTTTAACAATTTAATTTCTTCAATCTATAAATTCCCATTTTTTCTAGTTTTTAGGGAAAAAATATTTCTCTCTCAAAGAAACTAGGAGGATATATTGGAATAGGAACAGGAAATTGAATTGTACATTTTTTGAGGGGTTTTGGCTTTAGACAGATTGGTGGGAATTTTATCTGTAGTGGAACTGTAAAAGGTTGTTATCCTTCACAGATGATGAATCCCCCCCTTCCCTTCTCTATCTTTCTCTTTTGGCCAAGTACCTGCGAATAGATCAAAACACGGGAACTTGTCTGATTTGACCCTCCCTTTTCAAATCATTTGATGCAGCCAAGCAACTTCGATCACCAGCTATAGAACCAACGTTTCTTTTCCTTTTATTTTCTGTGAAAGAAAGAGAAATATAAATGTTTTCTGATACAATAAAGAGGGATCAAATTATAAAAAAAAAATTATATTTTTATATTTCTTAATTATTAATTTTAATAAGAGATAATAAAAAATTTTAATACCATCTTTAAATCTTTTAAAATCATATATATATAAATAAATAAATTTAATATCATCTTTTAACTCTTTTAAAATCATATATATATAATTTTTAAAAGTTTTGTACAAAAAATAATGAAAATTTTCTATGTATCAGAAATATTACAAACAAGTGCAAAACGAGGAAACGTCTCCTTCCACGCCAAAGATTAATTAAGAAATAAAAATTGTAATAAAAATAATAGAAAAAGAAGAAGAGATGATGATGGTGACGAAGATACAGGGTGAAGGGTCCTACTCCTCAATTCAACATTAAATATCTCTTTGTCTTTTTCTTTTTTTAATAATTTGTTTTTTTTTTTTTTGGTTGGATGCCAGAGTTTGAAGATAAAGCAATTAAATTGCTAAGGAACACATACAGAACCAACCACCATAACACCTACTTTAATGCTTGAAAAAAGTTAAATACAGAATGAAACAAATACTATACTAGTTCAAATATATCGTATAAATTAATAATTTTGAACTCGTTGTTTGTCTGCATGAGAATTTTGAATTTGAAATAAATATGTACATATAAAAAAACTTGAAAATCTTACCCAAAGGCAAAGGTAAATGGTTTGATCTATGAAACGAAACAAAACAAAAACAGTGGGGTCCCAATCAAATGCATGAATGTGTGAATTTTAATAAATGTGTAGGGCCTACTTGAGTGCATCAAACCTTGTAAAATTTTAAAAAATTACTCGATTGGATTACATAATTATTTTTAAATAATAATATTTATTATATTTAATATTTAATATTATATTCAATTTTTTATGAGCTCTAAATTACAATTTTTTTATAAAAATTATAAAAAAAATTACATAAAAAGAAATTCTATGCTATGCAAAAAAAAAATTTATTTTTTATGTATTCTGCCTTCATCTTCCTAAGCGACCTTTTCAGGGCAACAAAGGGATTCTAAAGAACCAAATTAATAAACTAAAAACATGAAGGTTTCTGCAGGTAGCAACAGATTTATTAAAGTTGACCTTAACTTGATTGGGGATGGGAAAAAAAAATGAAATCCAAGAAGATACAAGGGAATAAAGAACTATTAAATTAACTCTCTGAAACAACAATATCTACTTAATTTTATTTATTTTCTATGATCTCACCAGCCATACATTGAAAAACTTTGCTATCAGAAACAGTTACAATTATAGCAGTAGTATCAGGGTGTGCAGGCTGCAGGCTTTTGAGGTTATGATGTTAATAGGACTGGTTTTTCCGACTATGTTGACACATTTATTTATATTTTATTTCATCTTCGTCAGGTAATTAAATTAAACACATTTTAATTGGTTGCGGGCGCTATAAATATATAAGGGGCTGTGAATTAACTGTCATTCTCCGATCAAATCAAAATCACCGGCAGTTTAATTAATTATAGCTAGTTCCCCCTAGGATTCTCCCATGAAAACTTGATGGGGAAGGAGGGAAACTTTTCACTTTTATTTTGTCAGGCGGAGATCATTAACTTTGAGTTTCACTGCTAGTGAAAGCTCCACTGCCCTTTCCCTAGTCATGCTGCCATAAAAAGTGTGCTCAAAACTCACCTGAAAGAGTACCCCATGTGCTGATCAGTCTGTTGCTGAGTAATAAAAGGTGTCTCTTCTATTCTATCTTCAGTTTACTCATTGGCTAAAGAAGTTGAATATCTTTTCACCCGTAATTAAAAACTATAGTATAATTCATGGATTCTTTTGACTGACTGCACCTATCTGATGTTTCCGTTAGCCAGAAAATGATGCAATCTAGTACAACTCTGCTAAGTCTCTTCTCACCCTATTTAGGGGGAGCATTCAATAGGAAAAACAAAATATGCATGTCAATTATAGTACGAGATATTTGATTTATTAATAAAATATTAAACGATTAATTTTATTAATATTTTGATAATTTTAAATATTAAAAAAATGCACATTAACTTAAACTTATAATTAACTTTTTATCCTTGAAATTTTAAATATTTTTGGACTGGTTTTAAGTTCGACCTGATTAGTACTTGAAAACTCAAATCTTTTTACAGTGAATTTGTTGCATAGGTGGTACCATCAAAAAGCGAGAACGTCCTTTTATTGCCACACAAAATACCTGGTTTTATGGATCGTCTTGAGTAATTATCTTTTTGTCATGTATTTTTCCCGCATGCCTTATTATTTTATAATAATAATATTACCATGGAAATTTTGATGCTTCAGCCTTCTTCATGTAATGATGATTTGATTAAGGAAACATTGGTTAAAAAAATGTTTATATTCATTATATATTATAAAAGTATTATCTTGATCAACAAATAATTTATTTAATTGATTACGGTTCATCCTTTTCGATAAAAAAATTTTGAATTCGAATCTTATCGGTGATTATTTATTGGAGTAATCTCGAATATATGATCTGTAATCATTTGTTTTAGATTGTTAGATACGACACATCTTATCGTGACCTAAATAATTAAATAACATATCTATCTTTAAATTTTTATTACAAAAAAATAAAATATTACCTTGACACTTACCTTAATTAACTCTCATTTAATGTTCTTTCTGATATATATTTTTTTCACTGTATCTTTCTTAACTTTTTTCTCCCCAAAAAAATGCCATCAGTTCAAAGATTTTATAGATTAAGTCGCTACTAACTCCATTTATGCCTTAAAAACCCCAAAATCTTTGTTTATCCTAGTACGTTGTCGTACTGTTATGTTACCTTACTGGAATCTATGGCATTGCAAACACATGGAAGTTATACACTTCACATCAAACTGAAAGCCCCCAAAATCTATGCTTTTTTTTATATATATTATTGAATGTTCTCTCTCTCTCTTGATGAATATATTTTATTAATATTTTTCTATAATGATGTGGGAATTGTGTTTAAGAAGTCAATATATAATTAAGATATAAGTGAATGACATACGAAAAAAAATTATTATTTTAAAACTTATTTGTTTAATTAATTAATATTAAAATATTATTTGTGATTGTTAAATTTAATACAAAATATAAATAAATAAAAATGAAATTTATTCATGAATTTTTTGTTGAATGTTCTGATGGTTTATATTTTAAATGAAATTGGAATTAACGGTTGTCCTTTTATTTTATTTCACGTGTTCTTTTCTTTCCACATTATTCCAATTTCATTATGATGGAACTATTTGGGTTGTTGCTGCTTGTCTCTTCTTGCCCAAAATTCCCATTTCTTTTGGGAAAGAAAAAGACAAGCTAGAGATTAAGAAAAACATGGAAAAAGCTGGAAAATTTCATGCTTAAAAAATTGGTTGTGTCAGAAATGGAAAAGATAAGAAAGGTGAAATTAAGTCGGCATATGGGAAATTTCAAGCAGAAAAAATGTACGAACACCAATCAAATAGATATAACTTGAAGACTTATATAGAGCTATAGTTGCATCCCAGACATCATCAGCGTGATTGAATTATGAAGTGAAATATATATTTAATCAATTAGATTTTTTTTATTTATTTTGTCTATGAGAAAATAGGGGCCAGCTTTTCAATCTTTAGGATGGGGGTTGGTCAACTGTTTCCAACCCGGATCATTGCCCCAAAAAGTATATAAACCAAACACTGAATCGTTTTTACAATTCAATCAATATCCTATGTTGAAAAAGCTTACCAAATCAAATCATAGATTGACAAAAATAAAATAAAATTGTTTAGATTGTTTACAATTCACTCAATTCTCTCTTTCTGTCAGTGTGGAGCTCTAAACTGAGGTAAAATTTTAAAATAGTTAGAGAAAAAAAGAAAGTGCTTCAAAGATTAAGGCAAGAATTATTTTTTATGTTTGCACTCTAGTACTTAAATTAGAGGTTAGAATAAAAAAGTCAAAATAAAAAAATAAAAAAATAAATTAGAATCCCAAACAATATTTGGAGAATCTTATTTATAGACAAAATGTAAAGAGTTTAAGAAATGAGTGATAACGTGATCGAACTGATGTGACAGTGATATTGTAGGTTGATTTGACATGTTAAGTTAACCCAAAAGTCTAAAATATTTTTAGTTGTTGTTGATAATTTTTATTAAAAAAATAGTCAAAATGCCCTTTAAATCTAAAATTATCCCTAACATTTTCTTTTTATATTTTTTATTATAAGATCATATTAAATTATGATATATCAATATTATAAAAAATGAAAATTATAATATTATATATATAAATATATATAATTCAAAGCTTTCTTCTTAATATGCATTGAAGTCAAGGAGGATCAAAGAAAATGAAAGGTAGGAAATAACTAATAACAACAATTTTTTATGAACATGTAAGTGTTCATTGGACTTGAATTATAAAAATGGTAATCTCTCATCATATTTCAAAATTTATACCTAAGACCTACAAGTTATAAGAGTTTCAAATTCAAACCATTAGATGTTTCTAGGGATATTTTCAATTATACTACGCAGACAGAGAGAGATTGCAAGGTTGCTTTCATTTATGGACCCATTTTCAATTAACTACAAAAACGAGGCTGCTTTTGAGCCTACCATATTGTTTGTTTCTTTGAAGGAATGCCTTATCCATACGCAACCATAATCGGATATTTTCTTCAAATAGTAG